CCGACGATATGGTCTAGTTGGAGTCTGGATACAACATTTTGCATTCTGTAGATTATATAGTCAACTGTCACACCAGACAGGGGCTTGCCATCTGCAGCCTACCTTGTCGGTGAGGTGCAGGCTGTCCCACAGTGACAGGTGCCGCTGGATGACTACAGGGTCGTATGCTCTCCTCTCCTGAGGAGAGGGCACTTCAGGAAGAGGCTCAGCTGGAACACAAGTTGGTAAAAACATTTAATTAATACTAATTATGACAGACTCAATTACTCTAGGTAACAAAGACAAATCAGTTGTTAGGTGTACATAGTTTTTCTCATAAAATTTGTAATGCAACCAGTGCACGTGGATGCTTAAAAATACATTACAGTGGTACTGGCTGAATACATTCCTCAAGAGTTGATATTTTTGGGTGCAGTCTCCAGCCTCCGATAGCGGAGCGTCGTAATCTGCAATGAAAACATTTGCAAACAATTGTATGAAGCAATGCATTTTTAATGGGAATCATATCCATCCGATATCTGAAACATCCTTTGTTCTTTGGTCTCTGAACCAACCATAACTGGTGACCTGAGGTTTGTAGGTGCCAAAGTCCATCGCTCCATTCATGAAGCCAAAGCTGGTTCCCCCATGGAACATGTACAGATTAATGGAGACACCTCTCTCCAGGATCTCTGACACAACAGCCAGCATATCTGCAAACCACATGATAATATATGATCTCATAATACTCAAAATGAGCCAATAAATGAATGAGTTGTTAAGTATGGGAGTAATGCTCTTCTCTGTCAGTTGAAATGTCCTTGAACGTTACCTGAACACAGCAGCTCAGGACTGACATTCTGAATTACCTTCATAAGCCTATATACAATCACAAGCAAACACACACTGGCCATTGTGGAGCATCTGAGTGCTTAATGGATTGAAGGGAATGCAAAGGATGCTTAAATTGATCTCAGATAAATGATAAGTGTTTCCCATACCCTCAGCATGGAACACGTGGTGATGGTCTCCCCAGACATCAAACCACCCAGACCAATACTCCATCACCATTAGAGGTTTCTGGGGCTACACAAAACATATGACTATATTACATACATATCTTACTGTCTACTGTAATTTAAGAGCCATAACAAGCTTTAATGAGAAACAAAATCTGTATGGGCTTTTAGTTCATGCTCTTACACAATAAAGTTTACGCAAAAGCTGAAATAAATAAAGAGATTTTTTTTTTTACTGTTATAAATAATCATTAGTAAGTGCTAAAGTCACACAACAAACACCTACCTGCATGTCAGCTAAGCACTGGATAGCTCCGAACGACAGTCTTTGGAGGTTTATTGTTTTTAGAACTAAAATGAGCAAGAATTACACATAAAGTATATTGTGCACAGAAAAATAGAGTTGATAAGTAGATCATGTAAAGCCACACGAATTTGATTCACCACAGATATATTAAGTGTTTCAATCCATATCACACTGTATTTTTTTAAATAAATCCTCAAAGATAATGCACTTTAAGGGGTAAATTAAAAAACAGTAAAATAATCCTCCTTACCTCCCTCCATCCCTGCATATCTCAAGCCCTCCCAATTGTCTGAGGTCAGCAGGAGCTCCTTGATCCCTCTGGACTGGAGACACTGCAAGAAAAGAATATATATTTTTGTTTTGCATACATTTTCTAATTTGTATAGTAAAGATTTCAGTAAAAAAAACATCAATAAACTCACATTTTTTATAAATGGCATGTATTTCTCATCTTTGGCATATGATCCATACTCGTTCTCAACTTGAACTGCAATGATTGGGCCTCCCTCTTCGAACTGAAAGACCAAAAAAGGGGGAAATTAATGTTTTTTTCACACTGAAGCCTCCAATTATTATTTCAGGAAAGGTTTGACATGAAATATTATCACAAGTTTGAGAGTTTGATTTACCATCAGTGGTTTGATAACTGTGATAAGCTTGTCAAAGTAGAGGTTGACAGCATCTACAAATCCAGGATAAGTCGTCCTCAACTGCATGTTTTTATCTTGTAGCAACCAGCTGAAAGAAACGCAGGGACAATATTGGTGGCTTATATGGCAATATTTTACAGCAATGGACAGATGGTGTTACCTAGGCAACCCGCCCAAGTCCCATTCAGCGCAGATGTAAGGTCCAGGACGCAGGATCACCCACAGACCCAGCTCTGCTGCTAAACTGACATAGGCCCTGAGAAAGGCAGAGACACCTTCTGCTTCATTAATGAAAGAACCATTCTGCATGTCTTTTGGGAATATGTACCAAAGAGGAAGAACAAATAATATGGAAGCTGTACTTGAGGTCCAGCTGATCCTGAAAGTTGAATATTCCTCTCTCAGCCTCGTGCAGATTCCATGGCACATATCTGAAAAAGCAAGCAAGAAAGCCATTCTTTGTAGCTTATAGGCAGTACTGTGGTCCACTGACTTGTACAATTCTGGTATTTGGTTTGTTTCTATTACATTTTAAGGTGAAATGTTCCATTGTTGCGTTTTTTACAAACACATTTGATTTAATCTAATCTGTCTTTGACCTTCTCCGGTGAAAGAATACTGAAAATCCTGTAATGTGATTCATAGTCAAGTTGCAGAGGGAGCCTACGTTGTGAGAGTATTGAGGCCACAGGCCTTCATCTTCAGCAGCCGGTCCTCCCAGTAGGCTCTGGGGACACGGAAGTAGTGGATGGAGCCCCCCAGGACAAGGAAGGGCTCTCCCTCCAGAGTAAACTGAGGCAGATTGGCCCTCAGACCCTCCACACGGCTCATTCTTTTCACTTCAAGGTGATGTCTGGTGGGGGAAAACAGTTAGATAAAATATAATGGAAAACAGTCCATCTTCTGAAGCAGGTTGTATGTCTGGGATACTAAAATTCAAAGGCATACAAAAATATTTGAAACATTTTAACAGGTGCTACTGTAATAAAAACTTTACAAACATGCATGGCTACTTCAAATGATGCATCCGTGATACATTTTAACATGAACTTCATAAAATAAATGATATATGAGCACACCGAAAGTATAAACTTACCAAGAAAAAGTCCTGGATGCAAAATTACAGAAAATTCCAATTAAACAAAAAACATGGTCAAAGCTGTACCTTGATGCTGAGCTTGGTAGGGTGCGTTTGAAGAGGGGATGGTGCTGGGAGGCCAGAAACACTGTGGATAAGGGAAACTATTGTTGTTTCAGAACAAAACTAGAATAGTGCTCTGTCTCTCTCTCTCTCTCTCTCTCTCTCTCTGTAGCACTGTGAGAAAAGGGAGGCATTACAATGTACACAGTAATGTTAGTTTCCATAATGTACTGATGCTGTGTAGAGACCTTGTACAATTGTGGTCATAAGTTAGTGTGCAGTAGCATGAATATGGTTGATAAATGATCTCACAGAGAAGATTTTGTAAAGTCAAAATCAAAGGGTAAAGAGCACTGCTACAAATTACAGACCAAAAAGATGTTTTCTTATACGGCAGGTTATGTATTTGCAAAGTAAAATGTTCTGGTATATTTATTCGAATGTATTACGTAGTTCTGCAAATTCTACTTGTTCAGAGTGAAATATTCAAGAATATGACTGCTAACACAAAAATGCTGTTTGCAAGTACATCATAAAGCTGAGTGGATTCTTATGCTTTTGAGGGTTGTTTCAGTGCTATCAACATTATGCTTTTGACATGGTTAACCTTGTTTTGCCCTTAATCAAAAATTATTTTTTCAGTCAAATCTGTCTGAGACAGGCTTTCTCAAGAGGTTGACAGGATATTCTGCAAATTGTTAGGAGCCGATGAATCCTTCACGAGTCAGTTTCTGTGGATGTAAGCTAATTCAGGTATTGTCATGTAATCACAAATCAATAAAACACTGTGCACTGCAACTCCAATAAACTGGCAAAAATAAAATATTGTTAAAAACAGAATTAGATTGTAGGGCAGGAAAGGAAATGAAAAATGGATGAGAGGAAGGTTTCTATGTGTAAAGAAGAAGAATGATTAATCAAAAGGGTGAGAATAGACATACAGGACTAAATTAAATCTGAGACAACATCCTGGGAACTGTGACGGCTGCCACCCGAAGGAGACTGTGGTGACTGTTCTGTGGAGAACAATGGTATTAAAAGTATGGATGTAAAAACAATATTCCCTTTCAACTTGGGAAATGCAATGCACAGAAAAAACAAACTTACATATTCTTATGATCAGTCAGAAGAAGGATTTAAGGATAACTTGTTTGGTAGTGATATTACCCTTGCTGGAAGTAATTAGCTAATATTTTTTTAATTTTAAAAAGTAAAAGAACAAAACTTTTTGACAGTTTTCATTTTCGGCGTTTTTTTCCAGCAGAGTAATTGAGCAACGATCCCTATTATACAGGCAGTAGCTACAGGCGGGTGTTACTGTGCACTTTTGGGCAACAAACAGTAGCTTTCTCTGTCACAAACACCGGTTAATTAGCTTCCACAACTGGATATAACTTAGTTAGAAATAGTTTTTCGTAGACCAAACTTCGTTTTTTTTGTTATTAATCCCGGAAGTAACGTTACGAATATCACAGGATTAAGTGAATATGGGGTAGCTCAACTAAATTGGCGTTATTATGTGATTTCTGACAGGCTATGTCTACTGTCAAACTGGGTTACCATACCATGTGACTGTAACTTACTCGTACAACACGCAATTCGCATACACGTTAGAGCTGTTAAAGTCGTGTTGAAGTTGCCAATGGAAACATTATCAATGTTTGGTCTTCGTCTCTCCCTAAAACAAAGATATTTTCTCCTGCTGTGTGTGGCTGTCGGAGCTGTACTTGCATATCGGTTTACAAGGTAAGGCAAGCACTTCTGCAGCTGGCATAAACCTGAAGGGAGACATTTCTGTCAACTCTTAATACGAGTCATGAAGACGAACAGCCCGCCCGCTGAAACTTTATTAGTAAACAGACATTGTTGTTGCCTTATGTTCGTGTTTGTTTGGTTACATTGTTACCTATATTCAGGACTCAGCTCTGTTCCTGTGAACTTTCACCTGGCTCACTTGTTGGCCTGTGGACATTGAACATGACTACACGTAACGTGTTACCTGTCACTGTATTAAACCCCAGTTTGTCCTGTTTATGAGCTGTTCTGGTTACATTCATTACACCCTCATGTGCACACCTACCACAAGATGTGCCACCATGAATTCCATGAAGCTTCCCTTCGTAGAAACATGTCTCAAATGTCTTCGTGGCCTTTGATCCATTTGTGCTAGTTCTTTTTTCAGTTGTAAACTGCATTTTGCCCCCCTAGGAATCGCCCTGAAGTGAGAAGAATGAGCCGACTGGAGGGTCTGAGGGCCAACTTGTCTCAGTTCACTCTGGAGAGAAAACCCTTCCGCATCCTGGGGGGCTCCATCCACTACTTCCGCGTCCCCAGAGCCTACTGGGAGGACCGGCTGCTGAAGATGAAAGCCTGTGGCCTCAATACTCTAACAACGTAGGTTCCCTCTGCAACTCACTGCTGGCTGAATGTGATCTCTTTTAAGGCACTAGAATAAACACAGATCAAATACAATCTGAGTGACATAAAGTAGAGTAGACGGAATTCATTAGTCATAGTTTTATGAAGAACAGCAGGACAGTAATGTATTTTTTACAAGAAACAGGTGCAGTGGAATGACTGAAATGACCATTAAACTACTGAAAGCACACAAAAAATGATCCGTCTTACGTCTTTTTTCAGGTATGTGCCGTGGAACCTGCACGAGCCTGAGCAAGGGGTGTTCAACTTTGAGGATCAGCTGGATTTAGAGTAAGGAAAGATGAAGGGGAGACATCATGAGACTACAGATGCAGATCAACTCCTGCAGATGGCACTGTTGCATTGCAGAAGGGCTTTTGGCTTTCCACAGTTTTGAATAATTTGATACTGCTGAGAAGGTGTACGTTTACCCTTAAGAAATGAATTAATTAGTGGTGCACTCAGTCAGCATCAATGATTAATAATTTATTGATTGCGATGTCACAGAACCATCTATTGGGTTGTTTGCTGTCAAGTCTAGTGCTAGAAAAAAAAAGATCTGAATATGAAAAAAATACATTCATTGGAATATTTCAGAATGAATGACATATCATTTGCTATCGAACTTCTGCTTTATTTTGAAATAATAATAAATAATAATGATTATCTGTCCCCACTTTATATGTGCTGCAGTTAACATTTGAACTGTATTGACAATAAATAGACCCTACTGACAGCACCTTTTTGCATCCTTCTCTCAGCGCCTACCTCCGCCTTGCTGCCAGCCTGGGACTCTGGGTGATTCTGCGTCCCGGGCCGTACATCTGTGCCGAGTGGGATTTAGGAGGACTCCCCAGGTAAAGATCCCAGAGCCACAATTAAGTGTTACCTTTGCTGACATTTTGTATCTGCCTTACAGCCTTAGTAACATTGTAATGCATTATTTAAAAATAGCCAGCGGGGGGCTAAATTAATCCCTTAAATTGGCTTGGAAATGAATTGTTCAGTGAGGTAATCTGTTTGTTAGCGGTGTCTTTCCCGCAGGCACAATCCTTTCAACTCTTGGAAATAACTCATAGTTTAGTTATGTGAATTATTTCAAGTGTGCTGTCTTTGTCATCTATTTGGCCAGTTTAAGCAGATGTGTTGCTCAGAATTCATCTTGGTGTGATTAGTGTTGCACATGTGTAATACAACATAGGCAACAAGACTTCAAATACAGTGGAAGGCATGGTTGGAGGGCATCATACATCACAGACGTTAACCACTAATGTCACTGAAAGGCAGTGATGATTTAGCAGACTTTTGGTGAGGTATTATAGAGAACAATAATTAAACCTGACAGGCATATCTCACTGAAAGGATGAATTCATTTAGTTCTGTAATCAGATTTGGACAGATAATATGATGAATATTGGAGGGAAAAAGACTGGAAGTAGGTATTTTTGGAGTAGTTTTGCCTTCAGGCAATGTGAGGTTGAGGTAATATTTATTTGATAATCATCAAAACAGAGTGTTTCTAGGGGCACGCTGTGAAGCATGACTTCCTCTGCACCACATTTTATGATAGTCATGCTTAGGTTGGTGCGATTATCTTCGATGGCTAAAAACGTTCAGCACAGCACTTTGAAGAACTCATATATGTTACTTTTTTTTGGACATTTCAAAGGTTTTGTGGTGATTTCTTTGCAGTTGGCTACTACGGGATCCAAACATGAAACTGAGAACAACCTACCCAGGATTCACCAACGCGGTCAACTCCTTCTTTAATCAGCTCATTAAGAAAGTTGTTCCACATCAGGTACTTTCCATTTGAGCAAAGGAATTGCTTTTTGAAATAAAAAGTAATTTGACTGATACACACTTGTGACACACTGTAAGATATTCTAGAATAATTACATGAAAGAAAATATTTAATACAAATATGACTTAAATACATATATACTCAAAATAGACAAGCTTTCTCAATTACATGTTTTGAGTTTTCATGGTTACATGCATACAAACTTTAAAATCATCTTTAAAAAGAATCCTTGCATCATATTTTATGCCTGAATACAATATTTTTGTTACCACCTCGAAGAAGAAACTGCAATAACCAGCTGCTGTTGACCATGTGGTACCCATTATTGGCAACGTGACCCACCATACACACCTAAATTGTAAACTGACATATTTTCTTTTTATCAGCTGCACGCATCATTAAACAAGCTCTGATTTCCATTTCACAGTGTTTTTAAAATTCAGCTGTACTGAGGGTAGGGATAATCAAGAACTGGTGCCAAGCCCTAATATGTGTCCTCTCTTCATTGGCTAATTAATGCGCAGTACTCCAAGGGTGGCCCAATTATCGCAGTTCAAGTGGAGAATGAATATGGCTCCTATGCCAAAGATAAAGAGTACATGCCTTTCATCAAAGAGGTAAGAAACAAAATGTAATATTTATTGCCTTGTTATATCTGCTTTCCTTTACCCACTTACTTTGCTTTTCAAAAAAATACCAACAGTAATATTTCCGAAAGACCTTCGACTTTTTTGTTTAGTTGCCCCTATAATCCCCCTTCTTTCCAGGCGTTATTGTCAAGGGGCGTCACGGAGCTGCTGCTGACCTCCGACAACAAGGAAGGACTAAAGCTTGGAGGAGTGAAAGGAGGTATTGTCAGATAGGCTGAAAGACAAACAATACAGAGCACACACACACACCAAAACAAATACACACACATGTGCAGTATCGTTGTTGATGTGTGTGACAAGAGGTCTGAGTCAAGTGTCAGGCAGCTGCAGTTCAGAACCAGATTCTACACACAAAGGATTCTGTGTTGTGCCAGCAAGTTGTTCCTTTTCCATGTACACTGGCATAAACACTGTGAGGCTGGGAAATAAAAGTCTTATTTGTTTTCTATTGTTTGCACCCTTGCTATTTTAATGCACATACATTAGCCGTAATAAGATTGTTCTTCCCAGCGAGTGTGAGTATTTCTGCTTTTATTATCACTGCAAACCATGAATCGTCATTCTCATCATCATCATATTTACAGGACAGGATCTTTAAGGGTATTGTTATAATAAACCGCCCTCTGGGAATTCACAAAATGTTTTAATGCAACTCTTAAATCATTTCTATAAATTGTGCATATTTCCTAACCCCGATTAGCATGTTATATATTCAGCGAGGTGAACAGTTGTGGTTGGATGCCTCATTGACTGAATCCTAGTGCAGAGGCTTACATTAGACCATTTTAATGCCTGTTAACTTTGTGATCTGAAGACAGTTTTGCTTTATATGGATCCACCAGGCGCCATGTGGGACTACTAGTTCTTTAAGGACAGCAAAATAAGTATGTGAGGCAGTGCAGCTCTAAACAATAATCATAGTAGCCAACAAAGCATGTTTGGTATTAGTTTGAACTGATGTTCTCCATCTTTGTTATTATGTGTTGACAATATTGTTGTACCTTTTTTTTCATCTGAAGCGTTAGAAACCATCAATTTCCAGAAACTGAACCCGAATGACATCAAGTATCTAGATGAAATACAAGTGAGTGTGCCACTGCCTTCCCTGTTGATTATTATTTAATTCATGTTTTGGAGCAGTTTTCTGATGTAATCAAACATCAAACAGACACAGCATTAGCAATCCTTGCGCTTTCCAATACATAGACTGTCCTGGAGACCTAAAACAATGTCTTTAATCTTTTAGACAATTTATTGAAGTGCAGAAACTGTATCTTCTGTAACTGTGTGTTGCTTTCCAAAACTCTTGTAACACATTAAAACCTTTTTCTTATTCTACTAGCCTCAGAAGCCTAAGATGGTGATGGAGTACTGGTCTGGCTGGTTTGATCTTTGGGGAGAACTTCATCATGTGTACGCAGCTGAGGGTAAGACAGACTTAAGATGGGTCGACAGGTTCTCTTTAGCGCTCAGAGAAAGAGAGGTGTTCACATGAGAGTAAGACAGGATTTCTGCTGATGGATTCTTTGTTGAGGGTGAAACAGTTTCTTTCTGTACAGAAGGTCGATAATGATGGCTATCTCGAGACTGGGGTAAGACAGGTTTTGTGCTGCGAGCCAATACAGAATCTCTTAAGGTAAAACCGACAGTCTTGGGGGTAAGACAGTCTCAGTGCCTTAGAGTAAGGGAGGCTTAAGACAAACCTTTTTAGCTGAGAATGAAACAGTTTCTTTGCCGGAGGAAAGACAAAGTAAGGACAAACTCTGTGCTATGGGGGTGTGTAAGATAAATTCTCCAGACTGAATGTAAGACAGTCTCTCTAATGCCATGGTTCCTTCACAAAAGGCACAGAGCCCACTCAGTGCAGCATGACATATGGTCATTTCGTCCTTGTTGTGTGGCTTTGTCAGTTTGTTTGTTTGTTGTCAGTGATACGTTTCATGCATGGTGCATTGTGAACCAAGCAGCACAAACCAGAGTCAGTGTGTTGACCTCTTAACTTTTTCTCTGGGCCATACATTTGATGTTAAGAGGCCAGATTCTCAAACACATCCTTGTACAGAATTGTTCAAAGACGTGCTCCACTGATTCTGACTGACTGTACTGTGGGTGGAGTTCACTTTGTCTCATGCTCTCCCACCTTCTCTTTACCTACATGTGCCGTAGCTACAGATACACACTAGGACTGTCCTGCCCTTGGCTGTATTAAATGACATTTCAGTTGATGGGAACATACAGTATCACTGTGTACTATTAATTACCTACTAGAATGCCTTATAAGTCACAGGTTACATATTTGCTATAATTTCTAACTGCCTGCACCTGAAAATACAGTAAGACATGACACAATATGTGTGACGTAGGACTTAAAACT